GACCTACAATAGCTGCAAGCCTGAAAAATTTTTGTGTCCGTAAAAATTTTTGTTGGATAACTTGTTGACTCGGAATTTGAAAAGCTAGAAAGCTGAAATTTTAAGAAACTGCTCCACGTCCACGTACAATTAAATGACCTCAAATTCGACCTCCAGGTATGCATGCTTTCCACTTTACAGGCACATGAAAATTTTTGGTGGGTAGGTTGCTAACTCGAGGACAAGGAAAGTTAGAAAGCTGGAATTTTTAAGGGATGTACGTGGAACTTAATGAGTTCAAAACCAGCTTCCAGATGCGCGTGTTTCCCGCATGCGGGCCCATGAAAATTTCTTGCAGGTAAGTTGCTAACTTGGGAATCGGAAAAGCTAGGTGAAATTTTAAGGGGATATTTTCTGGCAGTTCTGAAGGTCAGTCTCAATTCTTTTAGCTAGAAGCATCTGCTAGAAAAATTAGTACCATTGGTTTGTACGCAGTTGTTTGACAAATCCGATATTTTGATGAAATACGGAAATATTTTAAAGTTGGACGAAGAAAACGAAAGCAAATAATATTAAGAAATTAGTAGAAATAGTAAAATGTTTTTTTTCCTTTTTTCCTCAATTTATACTTTTTGAGGTATCGCGACCCTAATTGTTATCTTATTTAGACTAGTGAGTACCCCTTGGGTAGGTGTGTGTGTATGTGTATGTAACACGCCGCGTCCTATATACACGTTTATTATACGTAATAGAGTGAAAAGATAAGATACAAAAGTAGGTGAAGCTCCCCAGAATAGGAATATTGGTATATAGCAGTAAGTCGCAGTGGAGGTCGGTAATGGTGGTCGGTAAAGGTGGTCGGTAAAGGTGGTCCTGGCCATGGGGAGGAGCGCTTTTATACCCCAGGGGACAAAGATCGAAAGTTCAGTGAGGGTAGGGCGATTAAAGTTTGAACCAGGGACAGGGTTACTGTGTCATAGTAACGCAGTTGTTCTTTAATCTTTTTTTAACAAAAAACCATTAATCACTATTTGATATATTACGCTATTACGCGATAGAGGTTAGAAGTGAATTCTTAACGTTCTCCCGTTTCAAACGAAAAGACTGTTTTGCAGTGAGTTAAGTCTCGACTCATTTCTTCACGCCTGTCTCTGGGATGTATCGGAATCGCTGGAGCCACGATTTGTGGCCCACTCATCGATTTCACTGTTCAGCAAACGTGGCATGCTTCGATCCGGTAGCATTAGCCTGAAAATGGAGATGGCTTCATCAGGCGATGACCATTTGGTGCCGCCACCCCCTGCTCAGGTATAACTGTAAAAATTCGAAATTTCCACTTCCTTCTTTTTTCATTTTTCGTATTTTTTAAATTTCTTTTAAATTTTTTCGAAAAAAGTTTTTCATTTTTTAAAGTAACTGTTTGAAACTCTAAGTATTTCATATTTCGATTCGCTGTTCATTCTGGACGAATTCACGTAATTTCATGAAAAATAATCGCAGTTTTATTGAATATTTGAAGTATTCCTGTTTATCAAAATAAAATTAAATGTGATTTTTTATTTTTTTAATATATTTTTAATTTCAGTTTACAAAGCAAACAGGCATTGATCGCTTACATAAACTCATGAAAGAGTATGGCGAAAATCTCATTGAACATGTTGATTGGCTCGACCGGATAACATATCCTCGGATTAAGCAACTAGAAAAAGAGGTTTTTTTTGCAGGTTTTTTTATAGGAAAAATCACGTTATAAGCTTAAATTTTCAGTAAGTTCTTTTATTTCTTTCTTCAGTGTGTTTTCCTGGATGATTGGCCGTTTGAACAGAATCTAAAGTGAAGGAGTTTTCTTTGAGAAAGTAATTTTTTCGCTTAGAAAATAGTAAAAATATAAATTTTCAAATACAAATTATTGATTTTTTTCTTTGAGAAATTAATTTTTTCGCTTAGAAAATAGTAGAAATATGAATTTTTGAACAGTTTCGAGCACTTCAAAAGCATGGGGTAGCGTAAAAGAAATTTTTAAGGCGATTTTAGCAACCAGGTTGACCTTGGAAGCCTAAATTTTTCGAAGGCGCGATTGATTACAGCACGAAAAAACAAGTTACAGGATTTTGTGTTTCCAGCAGACGGCAGCTTGCCTACTGTGAAGTTGAAGCCGTTTAGATCAATTGGTGGGAGTGCTATTTTCCCCTGATTTTTTATTTCAATATTTAGTTGGTCCGGGTGTATCTACATGGTGGAGGAGAGAGGAGCGGGGACAACCCAGGTGTAAAACAGCGGCCGAGGAGAAACCTGTTGACCATATTCTCAATAGGCGTTCGTCTTCTGCAAAATGCCATCATCCGGGACTTCTGGATGTCTCCGTCTCGTGAATGATGTAACGTTCGGGAGGAGGAGTGCCTGGTTGGCCGCGGGGGAAGCGCTCAACACCAAACAACAAGCCCCAAAAAAACCCCTTTATTAGTGCAGTCTTAAACAAATCAAAAGGAACAAACGAACCGCAGAAATCGACCGGCAGCAGCTCCAAGCTGCTGCCGCGCACCTTCAAAGTCCAACGAAACACAATCACAATTTCATTTCCAATTATCACATTAAATATCACAGAGGGGGGAACTCGGGCCAAGAAACGGGACATTTGCATATTACATGGAACCGAAGGGCAACTGGACAAGGCGAAGGGGGTTTAGCCTCCAGCTTCGCTTCCTTGTTACTCGTTCCTTCTTCATGTTGCAACATGGAGTGGGAATAGTGTAGGAGGCGGGAAGCAGTCGGGGAGGTTTGGGTTTGGTCAAGAGTTGTCAATTCCTTGAGTTCTTTGGAATTTCATGAGTTTCACTAAACAAATTCCATGAGAGATTGAAATTGTCAAAAATTCTATGATTTCCATGGGTTTATGCATTTTTTACCACTAAAAATCAGCAAATTCTGTATCATTTCCAGTACGAGCTGGAGCAGCGATGTCCGTATCTAAACGTTGAAATGATTCGTGTTGTTGCGGCCGGTATCACTTATTCTGTGGTGTATTACGAAAGTGAAGAAGATGAAGCAAAGAGTCAAAATGGTGGTGCTGGCCCATGTACAGATCCCGAATTAGGCCTAGAAAATCTTTGTGAAACAAAGCACAGTATGATGACACGTAACAAACGAGCTGGTATTTTTGAGCGTGAGCTGAAGCCGAATGCCGCAGCACGTGATGCACTGGAAAGGATTATCCAGGTTCTTCTAAGGTTTCAAATTATTTGCCAAAATTTTTTAACTTACACTTTTTGACAGTTTTGATTTACAGGCAGATTTTTTGACTCACATTTTTGGTTCATTTTGTTGACTCACAGTTTTGGCAAATTGATTTTGGCGAATTTTAACTCATAATTTTGACATAATTTGACTCAAATTATTTTGATTTTTTTGAATCACAGTTTATTTTGAAATTCAGTTCTTACTAATTTCTAGAACAACAAAATTTAGGTATGGTCTAGAACAGCAAAATTTCGGTACATTCTTTATTTCACATGGTGGTTAGGGGGCTGTACTGATGATTCCCACCCCAAATCACACCTTCACCGTTGTGTGTTTACAGCTAAGGGATGAAACACAGAGACAAATATCTCTACATATTCTCAGCATATGCGCAATCAACATGTCACACTGTTTATAACACATGTTCCTACATACCATCTTCCAATTTCCCCCTTCCCCTCCCCATTAGCTTATTTCACATGAAATATTAAACTCGAATCTCCCCGTTCCTTTCTATCTATTTAGGTTTCGTTAAATATTCAATTTTGTTAAAAAGAAATAAAAAAGTTGAGTATTCGTGTACTGAAATAAGTATTCAAGTTAAACGGGAAATGAGTTTTCAAGTATTAAAATTAGCATAATTTGATGATCATTTTAGCTCCCATCTTCACATGTTGTAAGCGCGGAAGAGCGTGATTTGATCTGGAAATTTCGTTATTATCTTCGAAATAATCGTAAAGCTTTGCCAAAATTTGTACGATCAGTGAACTGGGATAAAAGCGAAGAAGCGACACAAGCACTGCTCCTGATCAAGTTGGTTTCCAGATTTTTTCGCCTTTTTGAAAATTTCCAGGAAAATTCTTCTGGTGAGCTGGTTATGCGTTTTTGCCGTGCAGCGCTAGAGCGCTGCCGTGCAGCGCTAGAGCAAAAACGCATATTGCAACGACCCTGTCAGTGTGTGTGTGTGTGTGTGTGTGTGTGTATGTTTG